ACACGATTAGCTAATCTCTTTCCTTACCGTCTCTTATCGGACCGTAGCAAACAGAGCTGTGTTCGCCGACTCGCACGTCACCCACCTTGGGCATTCGTCATATGGATAGGCGGTGACTACAGCGGTAGAGTGGCAGCGTATGAGAGGGAGCAGGGATAGGGCATGATGGGTAAAACGCGTGGAACGCACAGAGAGCATCATAGGGTAGCTAGTGTGAAACGCACGAAGGGACTTATGGGTGCAAAGCATGCAATCCACAAAAAAATCGTCATGGGTATTTCGGAATGGAACGCACCGCGCAATGTGTGTTCTAGTTTGTTACTGGTGTGGTTGTGGTGCTTGGCCCTAGTCTATGCACTCCAGACTTAGCAGACGAACAGCTTTGCTAAACAGTGAATTATGGTGAATTGGAACCAAAGATATGTGATTTGGGGGAAAAAAAATTAGCTATAGCACGGCATGGCAGGTTTAACATCATTTGGACACTTGCAGAGTGAGAATTGTTGAAAATCCAAAGTGAATTTCAAATGTAAACCCAAAGTAGCTGAACTGGAAAAAAAACCAAAGTAGATGAACTGGAAAACGTCTCCAAGCCAACTATGCATCCAGTTTGGCTATTGTTATTTTACTGTCAATTTACAATTCTCACTTTAGTAAATAACCCTGTTATTTTTATTATTATTATTGCCATTTATATAGCTCCAACAGATTCAGTAGCGCTTTACAATATTATGAGAGGGAGGGATGTAACTATAAATAGGACAATAACAAGAAAACTTACAGGAACGATAGGTTGAAGAGCACCCTGCTCAAACGAGCTTACAGTATATAGGAGGTGAGGTATACAACACATTAGGACAGGAATACATCTATAGGAAGAACACTGCAACTTATAAAAAACATAGAATGTGACGGCAGATAAGAACCATTCGGCCCATCTAGTCTGCCCAATTTTCTAAATACTTTCACTAGTCCCTAGCCTTATCTTTTAGTTAGGATAGCCTTATGCCTATCCCACGCATGCTTAAACTCCTTTACTGTGTTAACCTCTACCACTTCAGCTGGAAGGCTATTCCATGCATCCACTACCCTCTCAGTAAAGTAATACTTCCTGATATTATTTTTAAACCTTTGTCCCTCTAATTTAAGACTATGTCCTCTTGTTGTGGTAGTTTTTCTTCTTTTAAATATAGTCTCCTCCTTTACTGTGTTGATTCCCTTTATGTATTTAAATGTTTCTATCATATCCCCCCTGTCTCGTCTTTCCTCCAAGCTATACATGTTAAGATAACCTTTCCTGGTAAGTTTTATCCCGCAATCCATGAACCAGTTTAGTAGCCCTTCTCTGAACCCTCTCTAAGGTATCAATATCCTTCTGAAGATACGGTCTCCAGTACTGTGTACAATACTCCAAGTGAGGTCTCACCAGTGTTCTGTACAATGGCATGAGCACTTCCTTCTTTCTACTGCTAATACCTCTCCCTATACAACCAAGCATTCTGCTAGCATTTCCTGCTGCTGTATTACATTGTCTGCCTATCTTTAAGTCATCGGAAATAATCACCCCTAAATCCCTTTCCTCAATTGTTAGAACTCTATCAAATATTCTGTACCCTGCCCTTGGGTTTTTACATCCAAGATGCATTATCTTGCACTTATCCACATTAAATGTCAGTTGTCACAATTCTGACCATTTTTCTAGTTTACCTAAATCATTTGCCATTTGGCTTATCCCTCCTGGAACATCAACCCGGTTACATATCTTAGTATCATCAGCAAAAAGACATACCTTACCATCAAGACCTTCTGCAATATCACTAATAAAAATATTAAAGAGAATGGGTCCAAGTACAGATCCCTGAGGTACCCCACTGGTGACAAGTTATAATGTTATAATTCATCTGTTGGAATGTCATTCGCTACTTAATGTTTAGTAAAAAGATGCTGTTGTCATTTTTTAAAAAAAAGTCATTACATTTTACAGTTTACTGAATAAAATCCCTGTGCCTCAGTAACCCCTTAGCCTACAAAATAATTCACTAAGCAACACAACATTCATTTAACATGAGCAAATATCAAACAGATAAGAGACAATATTTTTCTGTCTTTCCTAAGACACAACAAGGGAACAGGATATGCATTTTCAAAATGGTTTTAGTTTGGCACCTGCATGAACTCTCCAAGTTGACAGTGACTTATTATGCTGACAGCTCCTACCTATTATTCTGTTAACTCCTTCACTTTACACTCTTTCCTCCATAGGAAATGCTTTCCTATGAGGAGTCTTGGATGCACTCGATGTGCGTGCATTGGGTCCAAAATGCATTTTATCTGAGAAGACAGTGTGTTTACATTAAAAGGCCTGCAGGGACAGGTTATAGACACCAGAACCACTACATTAAAGGATCACTATATGGCCAGGAACACAAACATATATTCCAGACCCTATAGTGAAAACCCACCATTTAGGTGGCTTGCGCCCCCCATGGGGAAAGCATTGGATTGGCTAAAATCGGCAAGGGGAGAGGCCAAACACTGTTTTTTGCCAATCAGCACCTCCTCATAGAGATGCATTGAATTTAGTGGTTCTGGTGACTATAGTGGCACTTTAATGTGAGGTAAATTAGAGATTAGTGCTACTAATAATATACTGGATTGCCTACTTACCACCAGATGAGGACAAGAGGATGATGATAGGTTCAGGCTGCAGTCTGGCTCCATTGGTCTGGTGTTAAAACAGGCTCTCTGGAGGCAGTCCTCACAAAAATCAACGAACAGGAACCAGCTCCATTTTTTGGGGTGTGAGTATGCCTACAAGGACTGCCCATAAGCCTTATGCCTTCAAGGCCCACCCATGAGGTCACTCACAGGGAGTGGAGTGTATGTGTGTAGGCGATGTGTTATGTGCTATTGTAGAGGATGTAATGTGTGTGTGTTCTTATGGAATGTAGTCTATAGGAATACCAGTTTGTGTAAGGAATGTAGTCTGTGTGTTTGTGTATATATGATGCAGTGTGTGTTTGTGTGTAAGGAATGCATTGTGTGTTTCTGGGTGTGTGTGTGTGAGTGTAAGGGATGCATTGTGTGAATCTGTGTTTGTATGTGTAAGGGATGCAAGGTGTGTGTGTCTATGTATGTAATATAATGCAGTGTGTGTCTGTAAGGGGTGCAGTGAGTGTGTGTAAGAGATGCATTGTGTTTCTGTGTGTGTGTAAGAGGAGCAGTGTGAGGAGGTGTGCATGGGCTGCATTGTGTGTGTGAGGTATGCATTGTGTGTGTGTGGTATGCATTGTGTATGTGTGTGTGTGTGTTCAATGGATGAATTGTGTGTTTCTGTGTGTGTAAGGGAAGCATGGTGTGTTTCTGTTTGAGTGTAGGATGCATTATATGTTTTGGTGTGTCTGTGTGTGAGACCTTTAATGATCTTTTTCACTCCCCCGTCCCTTAGTGGTCTCATCTCTTCTCCCCCTGTCCCTTGGAGGTCTCCCCTCCCCTCCTGTCCCTTAGTGCTCTCCCCTGCCCCTCCTGTCCTTTAGTGATCTCTCCTGCTCCTCCTGTCCATTAGTGATCTCCCCTCCCCACCTATCCCTTAGTGCTCTCCCCTACCTCCCTGTCCTTTAGTGCTCTCGCCTGACCCTTCTTAATGCTCTCCCCTTGACCCATAGTGTTCTCCCCTACTACATAGTGCTCTTCCCTGTCCCCCATCCCATATTTCCCTTTTTCCTCCATCTTCCCCTTAGTGGTCTATCCTTTCCCCCCCTCCAGTGCCATTTCCTCTTCTCTTTGCAGCATGGCCGGGCGGCGCAGACCGCGGTGCAGGAGCTTGTGTTTCCTGTACCCGGTTGGACTGACAGGACAGGTGCGCCCTAGGCGACTGCCTAAGTCGCCTATAGGACACGCCAGCCCTGTCCATGACATTGCTGGAGGAGGAGAGGTGAGCAGCTGGAAAGGTGAGGTGAGCATGCTAAGTAAAGTATTCATTTTATTATTTATATGGCAAAGGGGGTTGTTTTCAAATAGGAATACTAAATCATTAGGAATACAGGCTTCTATTCGTAACATTTTAGTGTTCCTCTAACAGTATTTATTCAGCAATTTTGAAAAACATAAACTCATTTGGAACACTGATTTCATTATACATATAAATAGGGTAAGAGCTCATAAATAGAACTGGCATTCCACGAAATAGACTGTCAGCCTGGTTCAATGATTTTTGTAAAGAAAACCTTGCCATCTCTTATAAAGTGGTTTTAGTGCAAAGATCCTGTCCTTTTTTGTGGCAATGTAAACTATTGATGTTTTCATAGTAGTTATAATGAAATTTACAACACAGTTTTATATTTGCTTGATTTACTGTTTATTAATAAAACGGTGGTAAATACATCGTGATGTAATACAGAGAAATAAAGTTTGAGTAGTCACTTTGTTTAACGTTTTGGCTATGAAGTGTTTCTGGGTCCGTCCCCAACCTTCCTTCTTGACCTTCTCTCCCCAACCATTTCACTTATTTTTTTCCAACACTGTCTTGGTTCCACTGGGACTTCTCTCATGTGCCGCCATCTTTATGTTTCTAGGGAATTTCAAGCTTTGGGTGTGCGCATCCAATGACACACACGCCCAAGGCCACCAATCAACCTGTATTGACTCTTGCAATCGTGTGCCAGTCAATACAGAGTGTCAGTGATGTGACGCTCCCAGAATGGACATGACGCTGAAAGGAACCGAGTACAGCCAATGACAAAGTTGACAAAGGCCACGAAGTTTGACTAAACCAACCTTCAGGTTTAACATTACTATTTCTCATGTATAACTAAAAAAATAAATAATAAAAAAAAGTAATTGGAAAAAACTAAATAAATCAAAATAAACCCTACTACTCTTCCTTATGTATAACTTAAAAATAAAAAAAGTAATAAAAAGAAGGAAAAAGGGATAGACCCACATCCACATTACTGCACAGATCCAGTGCCACAGAGTACAGCTAGCTGGTTAGCACAGACATGCTGTCTGCCCCGGAACCGGAAGTGGTTATGCAGGTCCTGCGTTCCAATGCTGGATTGAAGTAACATGCTTTAGCCAGCAGCACCGTGGACAAGGTCACTCAAGGGAAAGTGCACATTAATAAAGGGGTGACTGGGGACCTGCTAAAATCAGGTATGTGACTGCAATGTGGGACAGCTCAAAGACGTGAGGCTTCTTAAACTGGTAACAAAATTGTGTTACGCAGATATTTCGCAATACTACAACGTGCACATACATGTGTTGCTGCTGTATAAAATAGAGCCAGCATGTTATAATGTTTATAATAGTTCACTAACATAATTTGCAGCACTAGGAAAATGCAGCGCCATTCTAAGCATAATTACAGTTATTAAATGGAGAAAATTAAGAAGATATATCGTAATGTTTACAGTATAGACAGCATTTTGCATGTTGGGATATTGATTGGTTGGTCACGTTGGGTAAGATGTGACATTACTATAATTATTTGCAGGGACGCAGATTAACTCGGCATACATTGTATGCGTTTGGTGATCTTGTTTATAATCAGATGTAATCATGAAAACAATTGGTTTTCCTCTCACTGTTATAATTTAGACTCAACTCCCTATGTAGTTTTATTTTAGATGTATTTAGAAGCAGCAGTGTAGTTCTAGTTTAAGAACATCATTTTTAATTGTGTGTTGGGTATTTTTTTGTTTGTTTTTTAGGAGGGGCGGGTGACCACTGAATTTTAAATTGAAGACAAAAGTAACTGAAAACTGAGTTTTTCCAATTTAGTCATTTCACATGTTTAATTTATGCTTGCAGAGTTAGAAAAGTACACTGCAATGGCATTTCAATGAGTATATACAATAATATTTATGGAGGGTCTCACAGGATCATCCATAAACCTCTCGTTGGTATTCTCTCACTTTGGCAAGAGTACACAGGCGATGTGGTACCTGTCAGTTTCTGCTGCAGGAGGCCAAATAGAGGGACAGATGAGTTATATCTCCCTTTCCAGTCTCCCCATACATGCTATCACCCAAGCCTACATGTCACCTCCCTAGGGACCTTGCAAAATAGTCCAAAGACACTACAATTTACAGTATTGCTTCCTCACAATGTAGGGACTACTTTATGTTAAAGGTACACTGTAGACATCCAGACCACAACATCACATTGAAGTGGTCTGGATGCAGTGCCCCTGTCCTTTTAACCCTGCATTGTAAAATATTGCAATTTCAGAGAATCCAAACCCTACACAAAAGTATATATTTCTAGAAAGTACATCACCCATGTAATAACGACTGTTTTTAATCAAGCTAAAATGACTTGCTGTTAACTCACATTACTGGTTTTGTTGCTCCACTAGACAGTTCTCATATTGTCCTTTACTTTTATCACTTACAGCGCCTAGTCTCCTTAAGACAGACAAAGCATCCTGAGTTGTGAGGGATCTACACTTTGGTCAACTCTCTGCTACAGTGTATTAAATGTAAATAATAGAAACAGGCATTTGGCTTAAAAACTGAATTTCACATTTCTTTCACAGGCAAGAACTATCATATTTAAAAGGTCTCTTCCACCCTCATAAAATGTCCTCACTTAGTGGGGCACGGTTGGGGCTTTGTGTGCTGCGTTCTGGACCACAGGCTGGAGCGTCGTTATTCTGCTGTTACAGACAATGTTCAAAGATGAAAAGACTAGCACTAATTCCTAAATGCATTGTGCATAATCTTTGTTCCCGTGGGATGTCTGCCATCGCTGGTCAAAAGCAGAGGGATTCATGGGAAATTGATCTTATGGATCTCAGTAATGAATTGAAGCTTGCCAATTCCAGCAGACCGTTCAGAAGGTTCATTACAGACCCTGGACTAGCAAAGACTGTTTTAAAATGCCTTCAGCCATGGGAATGTGGTGCAAAAGAGCCTCTTGTTATGGAGTTCAACCCAGGTACTGAACAAATGAACAGTATTTCATATCATGATCTGGTTTGTGTCTTTAATACTAAAATGTAAATGGGTTACCATATATTTACATGATTTGTGGTACTTTCTTGTTCTTGCCTTTTTATTCACAAACCCGTAGTGGAGAAGGACAGTATAAGAAAATAGTGCACATATTTCAAACCAAATTGATTTCTGATTAGATTATTTTTGATGTGTAACAGTCAGAATTAATATTTAAATAAAGTACCAAAAAACCTGAAGCTGACAATAATATAATGGCAGCCACATGCTTGCTTGACACATTTCTGAAGTATACCAAACAGGTTTCACAACTTTTAAATTAGTACTTCAATGTCTTTATTTGTGTTTATTTTACATAGACTTAACTTGACCCAGATCATCGCTCTCAATTAGTTAGCTAGGCTGGGCACGTAGAGTCCTGCTGTTGTATTGGAGGCAGGGAATGGTGATGTTTGATTTAAAGGGACACTGTAGGCACCCAGACCACTTCAGTTCGTCGAAGGGTGTGGGTTCCATGTCCCTTAACCCTGCAATAGTAATTATTGCTGTTATTGAGAAACTGAATAATTACCATGCAGGGATAATTCCATCTCTAGTGGCTGTCTACCAGACAGCCTCTAGAGGGCTGCCTGGTTTGAAACAGACCTTTAGTCAATTATCTGACGCTGGATGTCCTCGCGCTCTGCATGAGGACCTCCAGCGTCCACATTTTTTTCCCCAATAGGAAAGCTTTTAATAATGCTTTTCTATGGGAAAATCCTAAAGCGAGCACGGCCATTGCCTGGCCCAGTGCAGAAGGACATTGGCGCTTGATTCAGGTAAGTGACTGAAGATGTTTTAACCCCTTCAGCACCGCAGGAGAAGGAGGGGGGGCACCTTTAGAAACCTATAGTGCCAGGAAAACAAAGCCGTTTTCCTGGCACTATAGCATCCATTTAAGTGAAAATTTGTTTCACCATCACACCTCGATACTACTTGTAACTAACAATTAATGGAACATTCCAAGCATACTGTAGTGGTTATGGTATCAGATGTTCCAGGCACCCCCCCTGCGTAAGTAGTCAAACTGTTTACTATTACCCCCATAGGGCCTGCAAAGGGCAGACATGTCCTCTATGAGAGCCAGAAACCGCATTGAGCTACTTTGCAAATCCCAGGTAAGAACTCAAACTGTTAGGAAATGGTTTTACTACCTACATTGAGCACAACTGGCACCATAACCACCAGAACACACTTGGGATGTTCACAAGCTGAGTGATCACTTTAAGAGCTTATCACAGTGATCACATTGCCTTAACTTATATCTAATGCAAGTGATCACTGTGAATGTTTCCTAAAGCGATCAGCCAGCTAGAGGTTAACACAGTAAAAGAGTTTAAGCATGCATTGGTGTAAGCTGATGTTCTTGCATACTGATAGCTGATTAGCCTTCTATTTGTCTTGGAAGGGAGATAGGTGACAGGAGACTGGGTTTATTTTTTATATGGAAGTGTTCTAATTTTTTTTATTGTCGGAGTTGTTTACTACATTGAGAACTCAAAGTGAATTTTAGATAAAAAAAAAAAAAATAGAGGCTATTGAAATACTGTTGATTAAAAACTTGTTTATGTTAATTTAGGTCCTGGAGTCGTTACACGGACATTGTTGGATGCTGGTGTCAAAGTTGTTGCCCTGGAAAGTCAGGCTACCTTTCTTCCAACATTAGAGGTATATTTCAAAGTTAATTTAGTAACTTACTATATTATGAATTTAATTTTGTGCAATGGATATTTGGAATCTGAAATCCAAACATAACTGTTTAGAGCTTTGTAATTCTCAAGCAGGCTTCTTGATAGAGGAAGCATCTCTCTCAATGAAACACTGTAGTCCACACAGAGATGGAGAATCTTCTTTATTGACAAATGAGATCAAGGTATTGCTGGATGGAGAAGAGTGCTAGGATAGAGGTCTACTAGAAAGTTAGGGCAAGGGAAATGTTGAAATCAGTGAAAATTTTTATTTATGGCATTAAAGTGGTCCTGTAATGACAGCTCTAGGTTTGCAGTTTTTAACCATCTGGCTTGGCTCATGTTGTTATACAATTGATTACTTTACTGAGAGGGTAGTGGATGCATGGAATAGCCTTCCAGCTGAAGTGGTAGAGGTTAACACAGTAAAGGAGTTTAAGCATGCATGGGAGAGGCATAAGGCTATCCTAACTATAAGATAAGACTAGGGACTAATGAAAGTATTTAGAAAATTGGGCAGACTAGATGGGCCGAATGGTTCTTATCTGCCCTCACATTCTATGTTTCTATGATTGTTTCTTCCATTAATACTACTAAAATCTCATATTTTAATTTATTTCCATTTCCCCTGTCTTCTGCTGATACCATCAATCATGTTTTCAGTGGGTGTTATGCTTGCAGTAAGACACGTCTCCTGCATACCCATTTGGGACTTGCTTCTCATAACTGGTTAAATGTCTCCAACGCTTTGTTGGTTTTGTGTAAATAAAACTTATATTATCTCTCTCCATTCTCAATTTGCCTATCTAAAGCTGCAGCAATAAATCATTCCTGCTTTTTTTTTTAATTTTTTTCTTCTCTCCCCTGCATAATGCTGTGGTTTAAAAAAAAAAAAAAAATTTAAAAAAAATTGTGTATACCAACGATTTAGTAAATTACATCACAATCCGGTTCAGCCCCGATACAGCCAGGGCATACATTGAATTGGAGGAGCAGCAGAAATAATGGGGGAGATTTATTAATGTGCTCTGAAATGTGTCTCTTGTTAATTGGACTATAATCATAACCATTTTTAATAATCACAATTATTTATATAGTGCCAGCATATTCTACAGTGCTGTACAATGGGAAACAACGTGAACATTTAATTCTAATAAAACATATTACATACCGGAACAGTATTTTTGAGTACCAGACCGGTGGGAGTACTAGAATGTATGGTCAGGGGAACCCATTTGACGTAGGAAATAAGAACGGCTGAATGTCCTGACCGTAGGAGTAGAATATAACGTGTGTGTGTGTGTGTGTGTGTGTGTGTGTGTATATATATATATATACAAAAAAAAAAAGCGCTTAGATTCTGAAAGCGTTAACAATTAAACAAAAAATATGAAGTCGGTTATTCCCAGTTGAATAGGAATAAAACCTATTGTTGAGAAAAGGCAACCTAATAAACTAAAGTATTTGTGTTTCAACAAAAAATATGTCTCATGGAAATTATACTGAAGTATTTACAATTAGAAACAAAAAAAGATGAGTTAGAAATGTTTAGTGAAGCGGAGTCACGGCTTTAAAAAGATTATATTATGTCCCTGCGCTGTGGTGGTTCTGAGCCACTAAAATATAGTAAAAGAAACAGAGTGCCCTAAGAATAATTTTTAAAAATTAACTTTTAATGAATAAGTTAAAAAATAAATATAAATAACTAGGTTTAGCAAAGAGTGATGAGTGGTAATACTCAATGTGCAATTGGTTGCAATATAATATGATATAAAGATTGCAACACTAAGGTGATGATACCTATTAGAGATTAAAAATAGATACAGATCGTTTGGTAACGTGTTAACATCTAAATATGAAAATGGAAAATAAATTTTCAAAAGAGTAGCAAACACAGAGGACCTGTTCAAAAGTTTTCAGTGAACCTCTGGTAGATCTAAACTGCATCAATACAATGTTGCAGTATGTAGTCAACTGTGACAAAAGCTATAGTGCTTAGTATGATGTAGAGAAAATCATGTAACAGATAGTACTAAATAGCTTAGCGAAAAGAGGTCTACGGTCACAGAAAATTTAAAAAAGACTGTAAGAAATACTGGGAATGGATTATCGGTGAGCTAAATATCAGTGACCGATAAACAAATAGTGACAATAGGGTAAATGGGAGTAGAGTACCGCTGATAGATGCATGTAAAGGGGGAAAAACCCACCACCTAAAGCCGCCCGGTTCTAACAGTAATGTACTACAGGATTCTGAGGGAAGTATGGACAAGTACGGTCAATAGCCCACACAGCAAGATGTTGCAAAGAATCACCGATGGCCCCTAGCTTTTGTCACAGTTGACTACATACTGCAACATTGTATTGATGCAGTTTAGATCTACCAGAGGTTCACTGAAAACTTTTGAACAGGTCCTCTGTGTTTGCTACTCTTTTGAAAATTTATTTTCCATTTTCATATTTAGATGTTAACACGTTACCAAACGAGCTGTATCTATTTTTAATCTCTAATAGGTATCATCACCTTAGTGTTGCAATCTTTATATCATATTATATTGCAACCAATTGCACATTGAGTATTACCACTCATCACTCTTTGCTAAACCTAGTTATTTATATTTATTTTTTAACTTATTCATTAAAAGTTAATTTTTAAAAATTATTCTTAGGGCACTCTACTGTTTCTTTTTCTGTTATTACTACCTTGGTAGTTTTTTGTGGGTTAACCCCACTATGAGTGTTTTCCCTATAGCTTTCATCCCCCTTTTTCTCTACTAAAATATAGTACGTTTAAAGAATTGAGCTGTGCTGGTGTGTAAAGCACTGGCCACAGCTGCCACTTTACTCTTAAGAGCAACAATGTATCCTCAAATTGTCTGTATCAGAGACAAGTTGCGCAATTCAAAACCTGTTGTCTGTAAAATCAAACAAGAGGATTAATCAAAAATGCACATGAGAATATCCAACTCAAAAATGGGAAAATATAAAGGGGAAAAAAAGACATGTAAGATGCTGCTAACCAGAGATTCTATACTGTGCCTTAGAGGGCGCCTGTACTTGAAAGCAATCAAAAGCTATCTATCACTAGGATAGCAATTAATACAGTCTGTAAGTACCCAGACTTGTAAAATCGTGAGAGAAGGAGGATCTTTCCTTCTACTAAATAATACTTTTAGATCTGTATAGCAATGGTGTATAACATCTGTTTAATGGCTAACGTTTTAGGAACCTAAGCGTTTTTTTTTTTTTGTTTGTTTGTTTTTATATATATATATATATATATATATATATATATATATATAAAAATGTAAATAGTAAGAGGCTTGCACTCACGGTTTTTGAAGTAGAAAAATAAGATTCCTTTATTGCATTTTAATTAAAAACTGATCAATTATTTTATTAAAATGCAATAAAGGAAATTTTTTTTCTACTTCAAAAATCGTGAGTGCAAGCCTCTTACTATGTAAAAAAAAAAAACGCTTGGGTTCCTAAAACGTGTTTTCGCTTCAAGAATGCACCCGATTACATAATTATTTAAGTTTGTGTGCAAGGACTATTGAAGATAACACACACACCACACCACACCACCCCACCCATAGAGGTTATATTTTAATCTCAATTCTACTCCTACGGTCCAGACATTCAGCCATTCTTATTTCATATGGGAACAGTAGGTGAAGTGGCCACTCCCCAAATGAGCACACAATCTAAATCTTGAGAAATCCATTGCATCTCTGAAAAATTGGTGTCTATGGATGATGTCTATGGAGCAAAAGAGGCAACATATGAAAGAACCCGACAGACATAATAAATTGCACCAAAATAAGAAGTAAAATTGTATTCAACAGTTTTATCCCACCCCCCCCCAGTTGGTTTCTCCTCTCTATTCATTTGGAAGGGGACTAAAATATATAGGACCAATCTTCTGGAATAAAAGGGAATCATAACATGTCATGTGTCCTTAAGGGGTTAAACATGATATTGAAAACTCTGGGATATGTCTGTTCCCTTTTGGAATGGGTAATGAAAGTGGAGATTTAATAAAGATGAACGTAACACTTTCTTCATTTTGGAAAATATATATACTGCAGTGCTACATTCTCTTCATTGATGCTTCATTTATAATAACCCCTAATTAAAGGACCACTATAGTGCCAGGAAAGCATACTCGTTTTCCTGGCACTATAGTGCCCTGAGGGTGCCCCCACCCTCAGGGTCCCCCTCCCGCCCGGCTCTGGAAGGGGGAAAGGGTTAAAAACGTACCTTTTTCCAGCGCTGGGCGGGAGCTCTCCTCCTCTTCTCCGCCTCCGATCCTCCTCCCTGGGCTGAATGTACGCAGCGGCAAGCTGGCAGCATTCAGCCACGTCAGGAAAGCGTTTTTATGGCTGCGATGCTCTACTGAAAATCACGGTGAAACACACCAGCGCCTAGTAACTGTCAATGAGACAGCCACTAGAGGAAATAGGGGGAAGGCTTAACCCATTCATAAACATAGCAGTTTCTCTGAAACTGCTATGTTTATGAAAAAATGGGTTAACCCTAGAAGGACCTGGCACACAGACCACTTCATTAAGCTGAAGTGGTCTGGGTGCCTAGAGTGGTCCTTTAAAGGATCTGCATGGTCACTATAAATTTCTATTTACTCCACCGTGCCATTGTATGAGTAGAATTTGGTTTATCATGTGATGAGAACTGCTTTGTTTATTCACTGGAGCCAGCAGAAAAATGAAACTGTATTCTACTAGTGAAGTGTAACATTTCAGACCACGTGCACTACATTGATATTTTAATGATGTTGGAAATCTTCCTCCTGTATTTTACAGCAATTACGCAATAATACTGATGGACAACTGAGGGTAGTTCACTGTGATTTCTTCAAGCTAGACCCTTTGGGTGAGGGATCTATGCAGCCTCCTGTTATGTACTCTGAAACCTTGTTTAAACAACTGGGGATATCCAAGGTTCCTTGGACTTCAGGTGCGTTGCTCTGAGAGCTGGTATATGTTGTTTAGAAATGTATATGTTATCCCCTGTCCATATGCTTTTAAGAAATGTAACTGTATTCTCTGGTTTTTTTTTTTGTTTGTTTTTTTGTTTTTTTAAATAAGCATCTGGACTTTAAAGGTTTTTTTTTCTTTTTGTTCTTTCATAACCATCTATTTTCTAGATTTTTTTTTTGTTTATCCACCCATTATTTATTTATTTATATATATATATATATATATATATATATATATATATATATATATATATATATATAATACTTTTTTCCTTCTTAATACAGTCTCTTATGATCTGAAATTAATGTAGCTTTCTTGTTCAATTTTTTAAATTTTTTTTTTTATTTTTTATTGTTTCTTTTTGTCTCAAACACAATGACATTGCTTGTTCTTGCAGATGTTCCTTTAAAAGTTTTTGGGATTTTCTTTCAAAAAATTGAAAGTAAGTTCATTTGGAAACACATCTACTCCATTTATGAAAAGCGTTCCATATATAGATATGGCCGAATCGAGCTAAATCTGTTTATGAGTGAAAAGCAGTATAAGGTATGTTTCAAATTGTGAGTAATATTCCTCCCTCCCCACAAAATCAGAATGTATTTATTTTTAAATGCTTGTTGTAACGTAGTTTTTAACCAGCATTGACTAATTAAGCATAATTCTTTGCTAGAAACTGATCTGTCCGCCTGGAGATATGCGTAATTACCAGGCTCTAGGTGTGCTGTGTCAAGCAGCCTATGACATTCAGCTTCTGCATATGGTAAGTACAGTACAATATCTCTTTATTTGAAAATGTTTCCATCGTTTTATACTTCCGTAGGTGCTAGGTGTTTGCTCTCCCCTTCCCCAATAAATGTTAAGTTGTATAATCTTTGCTTTCTCTGATGACTTGACTTGACATGTGCATGTTTATAACCCTAACTTATCTAGAAACCTACTCTACCAATTATCATATCCATGCCTACAGGTTTTGGATTGACATCAAATCTTAATTAATCATACAAGATTCAGATAATAGCGTGGGTTGAGTTGCCTACAAAACAAACTTGCTCCAGCTAGACTTCTTTGAGTCCCATCACAAGCTCTCCTTGCATTACCCAACAGCTTATAATAGCAAGGGAGCATCTGGTCTGCACCCTCAGCAGGTGGAGATTACTGTCTGCTCCCTCAACCTTTATATCACCTTTAAGGAGTAGGTTTCTTTCAACACACACAAATCCCAAGAACTAACCCTCTCAAACCACAATCAATAGGTATAGTTAGTTAAAATTATCGTATAGATAAAGAGATTTTAATGGACATACTGTTTGTATATTGGTGGTAGGGATGCACAAATGGCCCCTTTTGAGCTGGGGGTATAGATGTTCTTTTCACCTGTGAGCAGTCCTTTTGAATAAAGTGATGTGGTATTTAAAAAAAAAAATTTAAAAAATTTGTGTGTCAAGTTTTACTGTAGTAATTTGATTTATTGAGAGTTTGGTATGTGTCATGGATAATCTATTCCTTGTGGTCCGTGTTTTTAGTTGGAGAGCCTGATATATGGGAATTAGTCTACTATTCTTTAAAATGTATGTATTTAGTCTCCTAGGCTTACAACACAATGTTCCTGTATTTATTTTTTCAGGAGCCTTGGTCATCTTTTTTTACGCCATCAAAATTCAGAGAAACATCCGGAGCAAAGAGTGTGGTATGTGTTTATAGACCCTGTACAGTTGAGAGACAACTGATACTATGAAGATGTTGGATTTTTAAAAACTTAAGTTTCCAGTGCACCATTCCAATACTTGCATAGACTTACTAATAAAAGTAAATTAGTACCATTGCAGGGGCCATTATAGTGTAAGCTTACTTGCCAGTTTCAAGGCAAAACTCCTTAGATGAGTTCTACGGTAACAATTTACCTTGCTGCTTTCAGCTAAAAGGCAAACTCTCTAATGTGCAAGAAACTCATATTTTACATGTCAGTGCTGCATTTTTTGTAGGAATACATTTTATTCCTTTGTTAATGCTAAAGCTATTACAAGCCTATAGAAATTATCCCTACATTAAAACTCCCACTACATTTCCATCTCTTTTTCTATTTAATTTGTATAACAAGCAATGTCACATTGCTGGGGCATTATCCATGTTTGTCCTGTTAATGTTTAATTAACGTGTACGGGTTTATATTAAAAGAAACAACAACAAAAACACACAAGCTTTTTCAGTTACCATAGTTAATTTATTTGTCACTTTGCTTCTTGTGTTTGTTGCACACACTGTGTTATTAAATAAAATCAAGGAACTAGTACATACTGGCAGAAGAAGACTTTGTACTTGGATTAGCTGATGTGACTGTGTATCTAGACTAACCCATTTTTTGTTTCATTTTTGCAGACAATACCAAATGACCATATGTGTTTGGTGAGACTCACTCCACGAAAGAATTTGTTTGGAAAGCAGTTTAAAGTCCTTAACTCCACTACCTTTATCTTAATGGTTAGGCAGTTACTCTGCAAGCGCAAAGGAAAACTTCTAGATTGGTTAAAGTAAGTGTATGACATTTCTTAATTTTTCTGGATATGTGTGTGTATTTTTGAAAATACAAGTTTCCCATATGATATGACTCACGTACTGTCACTTCTAATAAAGGTAATGTCTGGTTAATAAGCTTTATAATCGGTGTATAAATAGAAACATCAGTCTTTACAGTCAAATAAGAATTTTTTGAAAAAAGTCACTACATTGGTAATTTTCTCATTTACATTGAAAAGAATTCAGTACAAATTAATTTTCTTGTAAAGCAGATTGCCTTGTAATCTGTAATTTCAGAATTTCAGATTCTCGTGTCATTTCCATTTACATAGTTTAGAACGTCTGTCGTCTCTGGTTTGTGAATGGAAATACTAAAATCAATAGTGGATTAAAAGAGTAGACTTTTACCAAGTAGCAAAAAAGCAGGACTAATTGAGTATAAAGTTCACACCAGCATTGAGCAGATGCTTTTTGCTGTTCTGAATAATAGTGGCAACACAAGACTCAATAAAGAGAGCAGTCTGACTGGCTCTCTAGGATTTTTGCCATTTGCTTTCCATATGTGTTGCATGCAGCTGTTTGGAGAAGGAGGGTAACTGCATTTTACCTATACTACGTAGATCAGGGGTGTCCAACCCGCGGGCCGCATGTGGACCAGGACCGCTAGCAGTGCGGCCGGGGTACAGTCTGAGTGGAGAGGTACTTGACTGGCCCACCCAAGCATTTAAATAATTTTCCCCTCTAATTGTGACAGCCTGTGTCAGTCCAAGGGGATTAATGAATGGGAGGCTGGCGGCTGCTGCAGCTGCTCCCTTCACAATTTTCTGCAATTCCGTGTCCATGCTCCAACCCCTCATGCAAGCTCCGCCTCTTACACATAAGTCCCACCCCCAGATGCAAGCTCCGCAACCCCCACCCTCAAACAGGAAGAGGTCAAGAAATGGCTCCCACAGTCTTCAGTGCCAGGTAAGCTTCAGCTAATTTGTCAGTGAATTTGTGTGCATGTGCTTGCTAGTGAATGAGCTTGTATGTTTGTGTGTCAGTGAGCGTGTGTGTGTGTTAGTGAAATTGTCTGTAGTGAGTGTCAGTGAGCTTGTCTGTCAGTGCACTTGTGTGGATTGAATGTGTCTGTGTCAGTGAGCTGATATGTAGTGAGCGTGTGTGTGTGTGTATACACACACACGGCACAGTGATTAATGTAATTTTTGTATATGAGTTGTCAGTGATTGCATGTGTGTTTGGTGGCGGGGGGTCTGTGTATATGTGATTGTATTTGTGTAAGTCAGTGATTATGTGTGTAGGTCTGTGAATGTATGTGTGGTGTGTGTGTGTGTCTGTGCGTATAGGTTTTGAGTGTGTGTGTGTGTGTGTGTGTATAGATCTGTGATTGTGTGGGTGTATCTGTAATTGTGTTTAAAGGTCTGTGATTGTATGTATGTGTGGGTCTGTGATTATGTGTGTGTGTGTGTGTGTGTGTGTGTGTGTGTGTGGGGTCTTTGTATGTGACTGTGTGAATAGGTCCGTGATTGCGTGTGTATATTTGTAATTGTGTGTATAGGTCTGTGTGTGTGTGTGTACATCTCTGATTATGTGTACATATGTGACTGTGTATAGGTCTGTGATTGTATGTGTGTGTATATTTGTTATTGTGCGCATAAGTCTGAGTGTATGAGTGTATGTGTGTGTGTGTGTGTGTGTGTTTGTGATTATGTGTATGTAGTTAGTAGTTGGCTCCTTAATCTGGTATCCTTAAATATGGCAATTCCACATAAGGATAACAAATAAGGGAGTTATCTACTAAACAAAATTAATAAAAGGCGATATTAAAGGACTACTATAGTGCCAGGAAAACAAACTTGTTTGCCTGGCACTATAGTGCCCTGAGGGTGCCCCCACCCTCAGGGACCCCCTCCCGCCGGGCTCTGGAGAGAGGAAGGGGTTAAACACTTACCTATCTCCAGCGCCGGGCGGGGAGCTGTACTCCTCCTCTCCTCCTTGCTCGCGACGTCATCGGCTGAATGCGCATGCGCGGCAGAAGCCGCGTGCGCATTCAGCCAGTCGCATAGGAAAGCATTTACAATGCTTTCCTATGGACGCTTGCGTGCTCTCACTGTGATTTTCACAGTGAGAAGCACGCAAGCGCCTCTAGCGGATGTCAATGAGACAGCCACTAGAGGCTCTGGAGGCTGGATTAACCCTCAGTATAAACATAGCAGTTTCTCTGAAACTGCTATGTTTATTAAAAAAAGGGTTAATCCTAGAGGTACCTGGCACCCAGACCACTTCATAAAGCTGAAGTGGTCTGGGTGCCTAGAGTGGTCCTTTAAGTTTTATTGTATAAATTAATAATATTATAGATTTTATGTGAGACCCAAGACAATTCCTCTGCATTCAATGCGGCCCAGAGAAGCCAAAAGGTTGGACACCCATGACCTAGATCTTGTATGTTTTGTAATTTGAAACTGCTGAACTTGGCATGCTCATTATCTGTTTCTTAAGAGGACATCCTAGGCACCATTGAAATAAAATAAATAATTTTTAATAATTGTAAAGTGTTATCCTGTGAGAGGAGATCCCTGGCACCAGCTTACCTAAAAAGGTTAAATATTATTCTGACACCTGACTGCTCTGCTCTATGTCCTAGGCTTCAATCGGTAAGCCTCGGACTGAGAGTGAGGTCCATAGCACCCCGTTGAGAAAATTGAGTGAAAAGTTTCTGTAGCTGTGCAAAAGTTCAGGGGTAAAACAATCATACACTGGCTTGAAGTGTTTTGGGTTAAACTGTTCTTTTAACACCTTCAGGTATGTTGGCGCCCCTGACCTTTTCGTACCTTAATTCAGATGAAGTTGTTATGGTGCCCAGAGTGCTCTTTAAATACGCAATACATCTTAATGTATTAAATGTTTGTGGAAGCTTTATTTATGGGCAGCGAATCATGTTGGCTATGTTATTTGTATTTATTTTACTAACACATGAATTGCATAGGGTTTAAAAGGGACTTGAACATGTACACAATTCTTTACAATTATTTACCTAAAGGGATCCTCTTTACACCATAAACATTTCTGCTAGTTGAAGTGGCGATTCTGTAAGGTTTCTGTATGACAGTGTTTTTTTTTTTAAATGCTGCCAGTACATAGATGTTAGTTTATTTTCCGGTGTGTAACTTCACCTCCGGTAACAGGCAGCCAGCCACATTTCCAAGTTGGCCACACACAAGTTGTGAAAACTTAGCATTCATCATCAAAACACACCGCAAGCTGACGCGAACACACAGCTTTTACACCCACAGGTGCTGTACTTTTAGCACACCTGCTCTTGTAGCATTCCTGTTAGTTCCCCCCACACCTGGCTGCTCACTCTCAGCTAAGATCCATCATTTCTCTAGGAGCTATCTACACTGACAGCTCTACGAGAAGCATATGATTGGACACCGCCCTTCACATAGGGTAGGAATGGCTTAGCTGTAAAAGTCAGATCTTCAGCGAATGCAAGGTAGGTATATGAAACTGTGTATGCCCTTTAAAAAAAGAAAAATGCATGTTTTCTTTTTAATTCTTTATTTTTGATGTGCACAAGATAACACACACGCTTGCGCTGCCACGACAGCCAGTGCAAGAACAGTATTTAAACCGAAGGAAACAATCATGACATTAGAATCATCTGCACATAATTTTTTTTTTTTTTTAATTGATGAAATATATGAATGAACATGCTGAACTACACTCATGCTAAATACTGTGAACTTTAGAAACCTAACAAATGCAACGTTCATCTTTCAATGTAGGGTAATAACTGCTTGATCCAAGGATAAATCTGACTGCCATTCTGGGGTCAAGAAGGATTTTTTTTCCTAGCTTGTTGCAAAATTGTGCTTCAAACTGGGTTTTTTTGCCTTCTTTTGGATCAACAGAAAAAAAAACAAATGTGAGGTAGGCTGAACTTAATGGACGCAAGTCTCTTTTCAGTTATGTAACTATGTAACGTGAAATCAATCATTCTTATGAAAGCAACTGGCATAGGAGGCAGTCACTGTAAGAGAGTTAAATCAGAGGGTGTAACTTAACTATGTAGCTTGAGTCCCCTAGGAGGCCTCCCGGTATGTGGGGGTAGCAAGAGGAGCCAGTGTCTTTGCAAAGGAGACTTATGGGGTTAGACAGAGCTATGTCAGAAGATACCATGAGGAGAGAGAAGGTGAGTGGTCATATGCCTTTTTAAGTCCCAGTCCATGAGTTCAGCTCACCCAATACCTACTGATGGAAGAGTACAGTCCCCGAATAGCGGTGAGCTCTGCGATGAATCAGGGCCTAGCAAGGCAGACTGGTCAACGTGGTGGGTAGGACTGGTGCTTTCCCTAACATCAGCTCTGTATTATAAAGATTCTGTTGAGTCTGGTCATGAGGTCTGGTTTATTGTCGGCAGGGTCGTGGTGCCACGTGGCGTCTGCCATGTTTGGGGTCTCACTCTATTTCCATGGGGTCCCAGTGGAATCACCCCCTGTGCCCATTAGAGCAGGCAAGCCTCCCTGGGGTGGACCGGGATCACCCCCGCCAGTCAAGAGGGGGGTAGGGGGTTGCGGGGAGCTTGCAGAGTGAGTAGGGCCATTAAACCGTTCCGTTCTAGGAGGTCTGCCGCCTGTCCCGTCCGTCGTGATCTAGGCCACGTGTCTGGATTTGCTGCCGGGGAGCTTCTGTCACGTTTACAACCTCCACAGTGTGCTGCAGTCAGGTCAGGATGCAGGTGAGTCGTTAGGTGATTATGGGCTTGAGGCCAAAAATGCCTTGTAGTGCCCGTGTAGCAGAGGAACTTGAGCAAAATGCGACTCTCCACAGTCAGACCTCGCCACCCATGTTTTCTTTTTAAATGCGTTTTTCACGTGCATTTATTAATCTAGAGTGTTCCTGTAACATTTGCAGTTCCCTTCTTAATTCCGGTGATGTCAAGGTGTACTGCAACAAAATTGTTATTGGTGTGACTACTTCTAAAACTATTTCTAATTTTCAGTATTTGTGTGTTTGCAGTTCCTGGGATCCCGTTAATGGCCAAGCCCTGATGAAAGAACTGGACATTCCTGAGAACATAACAACGGGGAATGTAAATCCTGATCAGTATAAACGTCTGTTTGAAGCCATGGAACAGTCAGACACATTAGGCAAGAGTTGGATTTTTAATGAAGTGTTGGAAAATACCAATGGCTTATGATGCTGAAAAAACACTTTCAATTGGCTTCTATAAAAGGATATCCACTCTGATTCCAGATGTTACAAGCAGGATATTTTGCTTTTGCTTCTGATTTTTTATATATATATATATATATATATATAATATGGCAGGGGTGACCAAAAGGTAGATCCCCAGATGTTTTAAAATTACTGCTTCCATGATGCTTTGTCATTCTAGAGGCATGCAAAATTATTGGACTTGTAGTTCTACAACATCTGGGGATCTACTTGGTAGGCAGCCCTGGTGTAGGAAGTCAACCAACTGATATTAAAGGAAGTCTAACATCCATTTTGTGTGATTATATGTAAAATAATGTAATTTGCATTTTTGTACGATTAAATAATTGAATATGTATTTCCATATGCATTAAAATGTTTGGGCGTGTTCCCACTAAATTGCCTTTTATCATCCTGCTTTCCCCTAAAAGAACCAATGCACTGAGCTGTTTGAATGTTATAGGGCAAAACAAATTGCAAATGGTGGTACAGTTTCAATACAAAAAAGATGTAGCCAAAGATTATTTCAAATAGAAAAAAATGCACAGTCCTGTCACAATTATTTGTTCCTGTGAGGGTTTACAAGGATTGCTTGACACAATTCTGTGAATAAAGTTTCAAAACATGTGCATGATTGATTTCCTTTAAAGTTATTCTTCTAACATATACTTTTTTTTAAAGTATGGAAGATGCTTTTGGGGGAGTCAGAGAAAAGCTTCTGTCCATTAAAATAATAATAAAAAAAATTGCCTCTCATATTTATTTATACTTTTTTTTTTTTTTTCAAATTACAAATCTATAGTTCCAATAGTGTTTTTCTAAGCATAGAATAAACTACAACTTGTCAAACTTAGATATGCAAATCACTGCACCAACCTTTTTTTTTCTATAAATTGGGTCCAATAAATATGCATTTTTCAACACAGCTAAAAGGGATTTGTGTATAAGCCTATTATACATAGATAAAATTTTAAAATAATACCTGCCCTACTGCACTCGTGTTAAATGGTAAATAAAATTGTATCTATACATTGTATGACAGAGCTTGACAAATTCGTTTTGAATCTAGAAGCCAGCAAAAAAAAATGTAGTAGCCAGTAATAAAAAAAATTTAGGGGGGCGGGGCCTGCTAACCGACCAGACCAGACGCCAAGCTCCTCCAAAAACGACTTGAAACCCGCCAATATCCGACCAACAAAGCCCCATCCGACCACAAAAACGCTCCAGCTGACCTGCCTAACCGGAGCCGCACCGATAGATGCCGTTTTTATACACGGCGAAACACTCCAAGCCGCGGCGCAGGTCTGCGGCCTACTACGCGCCGACGATCCCGGGCCTGGACGCTCTCCTGCGCGGTAGCTACACTCTGAGCCCGCCAGGCACCGAGCCTCACGCCACACAGGCCACCCAAAACTCCATGCCTGCAATGGGACGCCGGTCACAAAAACCGAACTCCACGGCAGACGGCAGGGACATAGGAGACATGCTGAGGCAACCTACACAACCCAAAACGCTCCGCACAGAGGATCAAGGGGCGAGCACCCTGGCGCAGAGGGAGAAAGAACCCACGCTACTCACACAGGCAAGTCTCATAAACTCCATTGAGACCTCGGACGGGTCGGCCCCCACCACCAAAAATGACTTGAAAAACCTGCTTGCTGACATACACAGATTATGGGCAGCAGACCTAAAACTGTTGAGAAACGACATACAAACTATCACAGACCGGGTGCAAACCGCTGAGGAGGATATCCTTGACACCAGATCAGACATAAAAACTATTAAAGAGACCGTGCACCAACTACAAGAACATCACTCACACTTCTCCCTGCAACTCACGGCCCTAGAAGACAAACAGCGCCGAAATCACATAAAAATACGTGGAATCCCTGATGAAGTTACAGCTGAGGAGCTCCCACACTATCTCCGCAGGTTACTATCCACCATATTACCCCACGCTACCGCCAAAACGATAATCATAGATGGGGTGCATCGCATCAATAGCTCTGCCAAGTTGACACCCGGTGTGGCAAGGGACGTCATCCTTAGATGCCTAACCTTCCAAGACAAAACCCGAATAATGACAGCCTTGAGAAACAAAACGCCTCTGACCTTTGAGGGTTCCTCCTTGTCTTTTTTTCAAGATCTCACTAAAAGCACACTACTCTGGCGCAAATCAATGGGAACTGTCACCTCACAATTGAGAAACGCAAACATCATCTACCGCTGGGGAGCCCCGGGGTCCCTGATAGTACCCCACAATGGAACTAACCACACCATCACCTCTGTAGAAGGGGCACCAGCGCTCATGAAAGCTCTGGGACTGGTAGGGCAGAACAGGGGACAGCACTCTAACACTGCCGCTGGAAACTGGGACCTAGACCGCATCACCCCCTTCGTCCCAAGGAACGACACCTCGCAAGCTACTACCACCTGAACGCACCCGAGTCCGGACATGGAGAACTGTTGATAAATTGTTTAAATTTGTTTTCTCACTTCTCTCTCCTCTATTCTTACATATATACCATGTTTGTGTAGAATGCATAGCAATTGGAGACGACTAATAGTGAATTGGCCCGTAGCCTGAAGCCTCCTGACTTCTCACCCCCCCCCCCGCTACCCCCTTAGGTTAGGGGTACTTTATAGGAACGGAGGTACAACCCCATAAGTGGGGCGATCTAACACCACTACTGCACACCTGATATTCCCAACATCAGGCCACCAGACAATCTTTAGAATATGCCCGGGGTGAACACGTACAATCCTCCGTAAGCTAAAATATGCTGACCCCATTCTAGCCCACTAGATACAGTATCTCGAGCATATTAATACCTAAAGCTCGGGAACACCTGAGAGCTCCCACCCATACAACTACCCCCTTATCCAGTCGCCCCTCTCAGACACATCCCGAAAGTTGAACCTTGTTGCATTATGGGAAAAAATAAAAAAATTGGTGCCACAGTATAGTAATGCTATTGTAAAACTACTCTGTAAACCTGCATCTTACGTATTTGCCATGTACCAACCATGTCTATATTATGCACCACCAAAATAAAGAATTAAAAAAAAAAAAAAAAAAAAATTAAATGTAAACTCGCAAAGCTTTATGCTCAACGACAAAAATGCAATTCTTAAGGGGACACTCGATACCAAAACCACTACAGCTTAATGTAGTGGTTCTGGTGAATGGCCTGTCCCTGCAGGCTTTTCAATGTAAACACTGACTTTTTAGATGAGAAAAGCCACTCAGGAAGCGCTCTAGTGACTATCTCAGAGCAGCACTGAATTTCAGCATCTCCACACTCTGCATCTCTATAAGGAGATGCTGATTGGTGCAGCGGTTTGACACACATGCGTAATAGCCTCCCAATGCTTTCTCATTGTAAAGCATTGGATGGGTTGAGATCATCAAGCTTGATGACTGGGTGGAGGGGAAAAAAAGTGAGTCAAATCACCATTCCCATGTGATCGGAGGGAAGCTGGTCACCTAAACCTATAATACTCACTCACACACTCTCTCTCCATTTGTTTTAATTAAATTTAAATCCACCCACCCTCACTAACTTTTTGGAGAGCTAGAATTAATCAGCTTCCATGGGCCTGCTATTATCCTCAAGCTCTTCTTTTTCCCTCCCTCGCACGCTATTCATGATGCTGGGGCTAGAGTGACTTCCAGCATTACTAAACGGCAGAGCAAGAAGATAACCGCTCCATCGCCGCCTCCATTCCTAACAGCCACCCACCTCCTCTCTCCCTTTTGCAGCCTACCCGTCTCCCCTCTCCCTCAGCCGGCTACCCATCTCGGCGGGAACAAGCTAACAAATAACCAGGTGCCAGGACAAAATTCCTTGTCGCTCTGGATTTGCCAGCCCAGTTGTATGGGCAGAATTGCTAACAAATGTGTAGGACTGGGGGGAGCATTAAAATTCTGTCCGTTGCTCCCAAGTGCTATGAATTCTTTGATGTAAAACTCATGTTCTGAAGAATTGACTGAGAGGAAAAGCAGGAGATCCTTACTATATGCAATACTTCTGGTCTCTGGCACAGCATCCACAGTGCAGGCTAAATGTTCCATCTAGGGTGTATAGCAACTGAGTGATTGTTTACACGCTACAATTAACCCCTTAACGCCGGAGGGCGTACTATTACGTCCTATTTTAGGCAGCTATAAACGCCACCGGGCTTAATAGTACGCCCTCCGGTGTTTTTTTTTTTTCTTACCCGATCACGGTTGGGGGGACTCCCAGGGAGCCCCCCGCGGCACATCCGACCTCCTGCTGCCCCTCCGGCCATGTGAGAGTGAGGTCCTTACAAGGACCTCACAATCACATGGCCGGGTTAGTTGGCTGCTGCATTGCCAGCAGTTGGACTGCCTGTAATGACAGGTAGTCCCCCTGCTGGCTGGAAATAAAATAAATAAAGTGTAAAAAAAATATATATATACACACATATACACACACATACACTGTCTAGGTGTATTTTACTATTTATATATATATATATATATATATATATATATATATATATATATATATATTAATATCAAATTACACGTAGACTGATACTGATTAAATTATATATATAATTATTGTTAGATAGAGATATATATATATATATCTCTCTCTATATCTATCTATCTATCTATCTATATCTATCTCGAATATAAAAAAAGTAAATACATTAAATAAAAAAAAATTTAAAAATATATAGATGTATGTTTTCGTTCTAACTGTATTGTGATATTAATATATATATATTTATATCAAAATACACGTAGAACGAAATATATATCACTATATATACCTATATATAAAAACATTTTTTAAAAATTATATATACATATATATATATATATACACACATACGTATATATACATACATATATTAATTCTACATATATATTTATGTAATATTTTTACATAATTAGGTATCTTAATTAATTACAATTAGCGGGACCTGCCTGACAACCCATGCCGAAAGTAA